GTCAGCAGGATGCCTGTGTGAGTACATCATGCTCTCTGAGGCCTGCGAAGGCTTTCTTGGAGAGCAAGCTTTCTGTTCTTGTATGTAAAGCGGCTGGCAGAAAGCACTCGTGTGTACGGCAGCCCAGGTGGGAGGGCAGGCAGACAATTAGGAAACAGTTGAGAAATTGCAGTCGAAACTTAACCGTGCAGAAATCAGATGTGGAGTGGCACCCTTGCTTTTGGTAACCGGGAACACCAAACAGAAGGATTAAGGGATTCAGAAAAAGAGGTTTAGTGAAGTGTTTGCAGGATATGGCTGACTCAGGTGGCTTCTAACCCCAGCCATTCCCTGGCCCTCTGGACGTTTTTTTGGCCCCCTGCCACTGGCAGGAGGATGTGTGGGGTGAAACGCTGCTAGTTGATGTTTTTCCCAGAACTCCATCTCTGCTTTGATGGTTGCTGGAACGGTCGCAATACTCTGTAGCCCCAAGGAGTCGCATTACATTTACTGCCAGAACGAGTCCAAGATTAATGTATGTTACTGTTGGGAGTCTAAAATGTTAGAAATGATGAGTCAAATGCCTCCATCATAAACTTGGCTCAAAGTCTGCATGAAAAAAACCCCAACAACCTAAAACTTGGGTTTGTTCTAGCCTTTTTGTCTGAACCTCAACAGTGTGTGTGGCCAGGCTTTTGATAGAAATCCTCATTGTGGAAGCAAGAGACTTCCAAGAGGAGAATAAATATTAAATAGAAGCTGAAAAAGTCAATTACTCATTGATTCAAGGGGAAACGCTGGGGGAGGGAACACCCATTGCATAGGATGGCTCCATGTAACAAGCACTGGGAGCTGGTCACCCCACGGGTGCTGTGGTCAGTGTTTGTCTTGCTATGTTGTCACCCTCTGACCTGAAGGACAGGCACTGGTGCTGGGGCTGTCCCCTGGGCATTGGGCAGGGGCTGGTGGGGCCATGGGCCCACCACGGGCCATGGCTGCCCTTGGGGACAGGGGAGTGGTGGTAGGGGGGGTTTTTTTTTAAACATAGGTGAGGCGGCACCAGCCAATGGGAGTATGGGGCTGCCTTGATGGACATGGTGGCCTAGGGGCTGTTGGAGCAGGAGGTATGGAGGCAGTGGTCCTGAGGTGGGAGAGAGTGAGGGTGGGGGGCTCTGGGGTTCCTGGGGTGGGAGAGGTATGAGTGCTCCCTCGAGGAGATCAGTGTTCAGGTGGCTACCCCCCATGCTCTGGACTGGAGCATAGGCGCAGAGGATGTGGAGGCAAAGGGGTTGGTGGTGGCTGAGGTGGTGTTCTTTTGGAGAGGGAAACCAATATGATGAGGCTGTCCTACACATGCAGCACTGCTCTGGGAGGTGGGGCAAGAACTGTGCTTGGAGCCACCGTCCTGTTTCAGGCCTAGGAATGGGGGAGGCCTCAGGACCTGCCCAGTAGCCACAAAGTGTGGGGGTGTTGAGGCAGCCACCTCCAGTAAGCTCAGCATTAGGTATGACGGTTTTTGCAGAGTTGTGAAACCACCTGGAGAGTGGGCAGCAAGAGGCAGAGTGCAGGCACAGGCCTCTCAAAGTGCACAGGTGGATGCCTTGAGCCTTTTCTCCTTCCTTGTGACCCTTTCTGGCCTTAACTCGTGATTCTGTACTTTCAGACTGGTAATACAGGGAAGCTCTAAGAACCTTGTACTGTCTTTAGCATTGGGTCTAGGCAATTCTGTATTTTATTTAGAAGTCTGCTTTGAATTTTTATTACTGAAAGTTCTTTCTTTCATCTGTTGTGGACCTCTTGTCTTCCCCAAACCTCCACTATGTGCACCTTCTTTTGTCTTAACTGTCTGAAATCAAATGACTATTTCTTGTTAGTTGTTCTCTTAAGAATTTTGTCTGCCTTTTAGAAAGTCTTAACAAAAACAGTGTTTCATCCTTACTTTGTAGTTCACCTGGTACATGTGAGATTTTCCTAAACACACTACAGGGGAAAAGTAGCTCCTGTCTAAATGACTGCTTTAGGAAATCTTGAGAGTACTAGATCTTTTACCAGCCTCTGCAGTGACAAAAGTGTAAGTGGCTTCATGAAGTATTAGACAAGTTCATGGGCTTCAGCTGGGCACATTAAAATCAATAACCTGTATGTGATCCCCAGGGGCTGGAGAAGGGGTGTGTCAAGGACTCTGTCTCTGCTTATCACAGAGTAAGAAACCAGGTTTTGCCCTGGCCTTCAGATGACATCCTGAGCTGAGTGGACTCTTGGTCTCTTCCAGTCTAGCTAGCCCTGTAGCTCTAGGAGCTGCCACCTTTGTGCCATCTTTGTCACTGGTGCCCAGCTGTTTCCTCAGAGGCAGCTTTATTCCTGGCTGCAGCTGCTGGGTGTAGAGTGTGTTCCTGGCACTCCTCTGATGAGCCTGGTTTGGCTCAGGAGTGAGTGAACATAAGAAAAGCAAATACTTGAGCCTCGAAGTGAAATGTTAAAACAACTGAAATAAGCCTCTTCACATAATCTTTGCTTTGAAGGTGCTTTTTGGAGCAGGAGCAGCATGAGGATGCTCCACTTCTAACATTCTAAAGCTCTCAAATGTTTAGCCTGTTGAAGGACTTGAACTCCTGCTTGGATGTTACTCTGGCTCTTGCTGCAGTTTAGACTGTGGCTTTCTGGGGTTTTCCAGGAACTTCAGTGCGTTCTGCAGTTTGGTTTTGGTGATCTTATTGCTGAGTTTTCTTCCGCTTGTCAGTCAGTAGGCAGACAGGTCATCTAGGTGGTGGGGTGGGGTTTTGGGTTTCTTGATGTATGAATGGCCATCAAATAGGTTACTCTCCATCCAGGTTTTAACAGAAACTCCACTTCAGGTGGGTGCAGATGGAATTCAGCTTTATGTTCATGCTACTCCTGATTGTGTGTCTCACTTTCCAGTCATATAAGCTATATATAATAATTTAAGTCTGTGCTGCAAGAGGAGGTCTTGATTTGCTGAATTTAACTGTGCTGTGTAAGGAAGGAACTAGCTGGTAGAGGTATCTGTGTCTTAGAGGTCAGGAAGCGTAAGAGTGTAAGACTCTAGCTTAGCTCCCCGTGCCTTTGAGGGAAGCACAAGCAACTGTGAGTTAGGTTATACTGCTTTTAAACTCTTAAGTTAATAGAGAAAGAAAGGGAGGTGGGTCTGCTCTGAGTTCAAGGTTAGAATATAAAAGTAATATCCTTCAAACAAATGAAAACTAAGTAAGACTCAGTTGAGTAGTGGTACAGCATGAAGGCACAACAGTAAGGCAGTTGCACTGAATGAACAGAAATAAAACTGCCATGACTGAAGTGGGTATGGATTTGACTGTATCAGAGAAAAGGGAGTGGCTGGAATTGCGGAACATGGAAGGAGTTACCATGTAATGCTAAATGTCTGGTAACAGGGACTTCTATTGAATCTGTTAAGTCAGGACTAGTAACAAAATACAGACGGCAAACTGAGCAGATAACAACATGCACCTAGCAGGGACTGAATTAACTGACCCATTAAAAACTGGGTAATGTTTTTCATGTGCCAGGCAATTTAAGACTGGCCTTTTCCATAAATCAACTGTCTCCAGAGAGAAAAGTTTAATTGTCTCATCTCTTCCATAAAGGATTTATTACAGAGTCATATGGAACATGAATTTCTGTGCCAAAGGGGTGGTTTATGCAAGTATTGCAAGATGGGTAACAAACTGATGAAAGGGAGGGTGTTTGTACTGCACTGCAAACTGAGTTGGAGGCAGGAGTCATAAGACACACATTACTCCTCACCCATAACCTTGGCATAAAAAGTAAGAGTGTGCATAAAACAGATAATTGGGATGAAACCAGCCTGGGAGACATGAGCAATAACTTAGAGGAGGAGGGAGATAACTGTATTACACAAGATGAGACATAAAACTTTGTACTTTAGTTTTTATAACAGTAGACTTGGAGGCCAGCTGGTGCCTGGCTCCACAAAGCAACAGGCAAGATTTCTGATGGGAACTGGCATTCATCAATTTGGAAAGAACAGTGAGCAGGTGATGGGGTTACTGTAGGGACATGACTGGAGGACAAGTGGAATATTGGCTTTCAGAGGTGCACAGCTGGGAAGTGTTGGTGCTGTTAAACACGGTGCTTGGCAATACTTCGCACATTAGAAAAGTGGAACAAAGGAAAAGGCATCGCTAGGGAGGGTTTTCTCAGGCAGGCTGAAGAGATGATCAAGGGAGACGGGCTAAGGTGTTGTGACACGGCTTAATGATTTTAAGCAATGGGAACACATCCAGAGAATAAGCTCCAGGGTTGAGGAGGAGAAATTCTTGAATCTGAAGGACGATTTGGGCTTCTAAGCCTCTGAGCAACTTTGCACCAGGTGCAGTGAGGATTAAAAACCTGGCTGGGCTGAGCAAAGGAAAGCTTGATGAATATAGGAAAGGGATTACTTGATGCCATTACCTGTTGTTTCAAGGTGCGTGAGGACCCAGGAGGTTCCTTCCAGTTCTGTGGTTTCTCTGCTATATAGCAAAATATCTGATTTGAAGTGATTTTTTTTTTCCCCCCCACATCTGTCTGTTCTTACATTGTGATTTTATAAATTGCTCTGTCTGTCAAGGCTTCCATTTGGCCTTGTAAGAGAAACAAGATAAAATGGCTGAAGTCTAATGCTGCCAGTGTCGTTGGGGTTTCAGATGACAGCTTTCTAATTTAAGAACTGCATCTGGTACAGGTGAATCCTATTTAAACCCTTGTCATGACAGAGAAAGATGAAATTAAGCCATCAGTTTCATGATTATGTTATGACTTAATTGAAATCTTACTTTACCCAAACAGAATCAAGTTCAAAGCAGTGATTTTTTTTTTTTTTTAATTATCATAAAGCTGTTAATAGTTGAGTCAAGTCAGTTCAGCAACAAAACTTCAGTTCTTCTACTTGATTGGGATTATTTGAGACTTGTTCTGAGTGCTGTTATATTTTCAGAAGGAGGAAATCCCTTGTATGCAAAGTGTAGCTCCTTGCAGCTTGCTGCCTTTTTTTTTTTTCCTTTTTATTTTTTCTCCTGTGGTTCTGCTGTACTTTCCTCACTTACTGCCTCCTGTCTCCTGCTTTGTCTTGCTCTTCAGTATCCCCTTCTGTTTGCTAGTAGGTTGCAGCCATCCCTTGCTGCTGTATCCCATGTAGCTTGTCTCCTAGCTTGTCTCCACACATCTCACATAGGCTTTTGATAGAATAAGGTGAGTGATGTGTTCTACCTGGCTCCATGCTCTTCAATTTGGCTTCACCAAACTTAAGTGGAACATGCTGAATACTCCAGCAGAGCACATGAGGGAGTAAAAACAAGTCCTCAGTCAGACCTTGGCACTTCCATGCTACTTTCCTTCATCAGCAAAGCTTTTCATTAGTCTGAGATCTGCTGGAAGGGAGGTAGACCCAGCACTGCTTCACCAGGGGAAAGACATCTTGTGATGCCATGCTGACTAGTGGCATCCTGTGCAATGAGGTTTCTGCATCTATAGGCTTCATCTGGTAGGTCAGTATCAAGTGTACCTGGTACAACCTAGAGCTCACTGGGATGTTCTGGAATTGATGTGTGCTATTTGCCACCTCTGCTAAGGCTGTGGGTGGTCTTTAGTTGAGGACAGTGGGTTTTGTCCATGCATTGTAAGCAGACTGCTCTCTGCCTGTTTTTCTGTAATGGCACTTGGTTAGGGATGCTATATGGTGTGGATTGTCTCTTTCTTGGTCAGTCCAGTTGGTCCAAATGAATCACAGATGAGGTAGAGAAAGAGTCCTGGCTTCAGCTCTGGGAGTTGAGAACTCCTGATAATGCTGGGGTTCTGGGGCTTAGACCTCTGCTTGTCTGTGTTGACTTATCTTTTAAAACAGGGCTGAGACTTCTGGCAACTGATTGGTTCTTCTTCAGATTCTGAGATGATGGTGACTTGTGTTGGTAGCTTTTCTTGTTTCTGCTTTTTAAAGAGAAGACCTCAGAATGAAGAACTACTCTACACTAATAACCAAAGACCCTAAATTCAACTGTTGCATTGCTGCAGCTGTGAAAGAGAAGCATCGATCTCTCTTGTCCAAAAGCTTGAGCTGTTCCTGATACTGAAACTTTCTCTTTTCTCTATAGGTTCAGTACTGTGGCTTGCTGTTTCGCCACGAGGGCTGGCCCCTCTGTATCCATGAGAAGATTGTAGTTCAGCTGGCTTCCATTGACTGGCGAATCTTGAAGCCTGGTGACTTCTACCTGCAGGTGGTCCCCTATCTGAAGAAGTCTCCACGTATTGTATTGAAATGTTTGGCAAAAGACAAGCATAATGTAGAGGAAGTTGTGATTCCAGAAGTTTCCTATACCTCTGTATTTACTCTGGAATGGTTGAGTACTTTCAATGGAGAGCGGATGGGTATAGCACTGGAAAATTATTTACTAACCACTGATGATAAAATATTTCGTGTCCCCTGGGATAAAGTGGTTAGTCCTGAATTTATAAATAAACCAAAAATAATTGAAAACAGTATAATCTCTCCAGAAATTACAGAGGAACATTCAATTTTGTGCCTCCCCATGGACCATGCTGAGTGCAGTTCACCAGACCTAGGACCTCAGTATTTGCAGGAAGAAAATCCAAATCAAGACAACCTGGTCATCAGCAGCACAACTCCCCAGTTAAGTGAAGCTCTTGTCAATGGTGTTTGTACAAGTCCAGTTCCTCAAGAGAACTTGAAAAGTGACCTTGAAGGGGACTACATTCAACAATCAGAAGTTTCACTGCCCCGGTTTGGGCCACAAACGGAGTCTTTAACCCAGTCGCTAGCTTTAAATTCTGTAACTCAGCCCAGAACGCAAGTGAATGCGTCTAAGGGCAAGCACAGGTTCATTGTCATTCAAGACAGTACCTACTCCAAGAACATAATTCAGTCAGCACTTATGCAGAAGGAGCACTGTCAAACAGACACTCTGAGAACCTCTTCTGCAGAAGTTCTAAAAAATGTAATTCCATTGGAAAGCAGCAAACTGGTGGCACGTGGAGAACTCTCTCCAGGAAGTCAACTGTTTCCAGGTGGCCCTGAAAACATGGGGAATAGCTTTCTTGGGGCTGAGTCTTCTGCCTGCAGTACAGAAGATTCATTTGCAGAGCAGAAGACCTGCAGTGAACACTTAATCGATTTGCGATATGCACTGTGCAGCTACAGCGACATGTGTGCTGGAGCTGTCAGCTGCAAAGCACAAATGCCTTGTGCTCCTGGAAACATGGAAGGAGAAAGTGATGGTCCTAGTGGAAATGCTGGTGTTGAAACAATTCTAGATGCTACTGCTGCTGAGGAGGCAATGATGCTAGGAGTACATGGAGAACCACTGACCAAGGGTCAAGATGAGGTGGCACAGATGGATGCCTCTCCTATCTCTGTCCCAGGGTCTTCAGGCTTACATTGCACACTGAAGGAAGGTGCTGATATTTCTTGCCAGAGTGGCAGTGAAAGTGTTGCACCAGCCCAGGCCACTGTGTTGCTTGTCACACCTGAGGATTCAGATGTAGATGTGGAGGAACGCACTTCAGGGAACACAGCAGATGTAGGAGTTGTTGGTGCGTGCTGCAGTGATCAGGAAGCAAACCTTCGTCCTCCATTAAATCCTCCAGAAGAGAACCAAGGAGAAGCAGATGAATTTGAGCTGGGAAGATGGGACAGCCCAGAGGAAGTCAAAGAGGCTGAACAAATATTGACTGCAAATGGGAATCGGACTAGTCAAAGTCACTGTTCTGATGAAGCTCCTACAGATGGGCTCTTGTCAGGTGGTGAAGAGCAAGAGGTCTCTGTGTGTTGGCTGAAGGAAGCTGAAGAAGTCACACTACTCCAAGCTGCTCTGTCAGCAGAGAGTGATCAGATGGCAGAACAATTAAATAACAGTGACACTTTGATGGGCCCTGATGCACAAACAGAAGGCTCAAGTCAGTCCAGAACCCAGAGGTCTGGAGAAGAGTGTGAGGAACCACAAGGACAAATAGAAAGCCATGGCTGTAAAAGTGAAGAGAACTCTGTGCTGAACTTGGAGCATGTCGCAGTACAGGATTTACAGGAAGGAGAGGAGAACCAGGAAAGTTTTTCCTATGAGGAAAAGTCAAAAACTATAGCCTTAAAAACACTAGAATCCATTGAAGAGGAACTTGAGGTTGGAGCACTCCCCTCAGGACCCACGGAGGGGCCTATGGAACCCACCACTCTGCATTCCCACCAAGAGACAGCTTCTGGGACATCACCTCCTGCAGGTACAGCAGTTGGGTGTGAGTGTGTTTATCTGTTTGATAACATGGGTAGAAAGCAAAGTCCTCAAGAGGCACTGCTGACAAGTGTGTCTGCTGGAAGGTTTTGGGCTAATAGCATAAACTAGATGGTGATGAAGGAAGGTGATGAAGTTGTCATTTTTGTGGTTTGAAATTAGCTTTTTCTTCCCAGGTGGGCTTATGTAGATATTTTGTTCAGTAATTCTGTATAAATTTATACTGGTACAGAACAAAGTTCCAGTGTAAGAGACTTTTTTCAGTTAATCTGATGGCTGGTGACCTCCACCCATTACATGCACCATGTGCATGTTATGGATGCATGAGGATGCATGGATGCAATAGGAATGTGTGAGGAAAGAATTACTTAAGTGTACAGGTCTTTCACAGTTAAACACTGGCTTTAGAAAGGTGGTTGTGGCAAGAGGAAGCAGCATTGGATACCAAAGTAAAATACTAGTTGTGTAAACATGACCTGAAGATCAACAAATGTGTGTGCTGGTAACTGATTTAAGAAGCAAACTGCAAACTGAGGGATTCTCCCCCCTCTTCCCGCCCTTCCCCTCCAGCATGCTTTGTTCAGCTTGGTTATGTTTCAAGTAGGAGCTGTTTAACTCCAAGAGGAGAGCACAGAGAAATGAAGTATCTAACTTCAGCTCAGACAATATGTTCAAGCAGGTCTTGCCGAGGCTCCTGTGTGGGAGCTGTGCTCCTTCAGAAGGAATCAAGGAGGCAACCCAGGTATCTCTGCCTTTTGCAGCAGGCTGTCGGCAAGCGGTGTGTAACCGCATGGATGTGATGTTGGCTCTGCTGAGTCTGGCAAGCTGTAGATATGCAGATCCCATGGAGGAGCCTCTGTGTGGTGGGGGCGGTGGAACATGCCATTCCAGTTCAGCAGCTCTCATTCCCTGAGACCCCTGGCTAGGAAAATTACCTGGACTGGGATATTGGAGTGAGGACTATTGAGAGGGTCAGAGGTATAGACCTACACTGCTAAATGGCATCTGTGGAGGAACAGGTCAAGAGCTGGTTGGCTTGGGACAGGCTGTCAGTGTAGTGCTTGCATTGGTCCTAAACTGTGGATAAGAGCCTATATCACTGCTGTAGCACTGCTCCATGTGGCTGTAAACACAGCTGCTTTCTCAAGCATCTAAAAGTCACATTTTACCCAATGCCTTAGTGTGACTTCCTAATGGAACTAAAGTGACTGTTGATTAAAATGAAATTTCATTAACACCTGCATCAAAATATTTTAATTCCATAATTAGGCAAGCCAACAGTTGCCAGGTATTTCTGATACTTACGCTTCCCAATACCTTAAGGGGGCCTACAGGAAATCTGGAGAGGGACTTCTTACAAGGGCCTGTAGGGACAGGACAAGGGGGAATGGCTTTAACCTGACAGAGGGGAGACTGAGATGAGGTCTTAGGAAGAAGTTCTTCCCTGTGAGGCTGGTGAGGCCCTGGCACAGGTTGCCCAGAGAAGCTGTGGCTGCCCCATCCCTGGCACTGTTAAAGGCCAGGTTGCACTGTGAAAGGCCAGGGTGGACGGGGCTAGGAACAACCTGGTCTAGTGGAAGGTGTGCCTGCCCATGGCAGGGGATTGGAAATGGATGAGCTTTAAGGTCCCTTGCAACCCAGACCAGTCTGGAATTCTGTGGTACTTCTGCAGTGACAAGCATTTCTCTCCTGTGAAGCTCGGAAGTTTCTTTTCCTGAAGTATGCGTCTCTCTGAGGATCTACTACCATGAACAGAAGAGAGGTCTCCTGCCTGTCATTAGGGCATGATGTCTCCTGGGGGCTATATGTCAGTAAAGAACCACGCTGTTGATATCCATTCCCCTGGCCAAGCTGAACCCAGGTTGATTTCATTTTTGTGCAAGGCTGGACCTCAGAAAGCTGGGCTGTATTGAGTGCTGGCTGCACAGAGAATCTTCTCATGATCCCAGTGGCTGCTTGCTTGTTTTGTGTTCCCATCTCCTCTGTCTAAAATTAGCCAGGTCCAGCTGGTGCGTGAGATAGTAAGTGTGATGTTCTCCCTGTTCCACAGGATGAGTCTTAGCCGCTGCTGTAGCTTTCAGCAGTGACGGACCCTTATGGGGTATTATGTGTGGAGTTTGTTCTTAATGAAAGACAATTTAAATGTTTCCAGGGATTTGGCTGAAATAAGTGACAGTGGTGGCTGAGCTCTGCTGATGTTAAAATTTGGCACTGCAGTTAAAAAAAAACCCTGTTATCTCAGAGCTTATAATGCCAAAGAAACAAATCACCAGCAAAACCCCAAGCCAACCCCTCTTTAAGGCACAGGGGCAGCTCAGATATCTACTAATGCCATGAATATTTCTTAAACACTACAGCTGGGACTATAATAAGTTTAATCCATTGATTGCTGTAGTGGACAGATGCATGATTTGCTCTGTATGAGGTGGAGGAGCTTGCTTGTTACAGCAGACGCTAGATTATGTCAAAATACGCATAATGGGACACTGAGTTTACTATGTCTGCAGATTTTCCCTTGTCCCTTAAGTCTCTCCTCTTCCTCCTGCCCTCCATCGAGCTTATTTTCTGCACAAATATGGTCTATAACTTAGAAAGATTTCATATCAAATGGGAGCTGTCTTGATTTGGGTTAAAATTCACACTGGTTCCATTCACACAGAATGTGACTGCTGTTTTTCTCTAACTTGAAGTGAAAGTGAGTTTTGAAACTTTGCAGCTCTGGAAAGCAAGATATTTTCCACCCCTGTATTTTGGGTGTGGAAAATATCTTGATAGCAAGGAATTGGTTGAAAAGCCACACTGGGGCATATTCAGCAGCACCTGCTAGGGTGTTCTGTTCCTGCTCCCTGTTACTATGTGATGTTAGCATAGATGATACTGGTGCTGAGGCAGTTGACAGGAAAAATGCTAATGTCTCTTTGAAATGCACACAAGCAAATCCTTCTCTACCACTTCCTTAGCCTCGGGGAAAGGAGGAACCTGCACACATGGCAAATTCAGATGTCCCAGCTCCCAGTTTGCTTTTTGATGTAATCATCCACATTCTACAATTTCTGCTTTAGTAAGTGCGCTACCCGGCGTTGCAAATAATAAACAATGTGGTGGGGCCTGTGTGGAGAGAGTTTGTGTCTGCAGAGCTGAACTGAACCTGAGAAGCTTGGGGAAGAGGTTTGTTCGGGCAATATGGACGTAGTCTGGAGGCTGTACAACTCTAGTGAGGTTTCTCTTGGGCTGAAAAGCCCCAGCACCAGTACTGTGCTTCTCTCATCTGCCTTTGGAAGCTGCTCATTCCAGAAATATCCAAGGCGGGGCTGCCATGTACATTTATGTCTTTTTTTGCCCTAGTGTGGTACCATCAGTATGTTCCCTTTTTTGTCTTTAAACGTGACGTTCTGGTCTTTGCAGACTTTCTGCATTTACTGCAGATTCCTTACCACAGACTGTGGGGTTCTGTTTATTGCCAGGCTTAAAGCACCTTGAGAAAATGACTCTCTCTTCTCCTAGAAAGCCTATCAGCCTTTCATGTGAAACCTCAGTGGCACGACTTC